AGCCGCTGCTGAAACTGACTAGCAGCGTCTGAATCAGGTACTCCTTGGGCACAGCCGGACTATCGGAGGGGGGGGCTATGAGGGGTCTGGAGTGGTATCCTCCCCCCACCCCAGACGCCTCCTAGCCCCCCCTTCCGATAGTCCGGCATATCTGATAATCCAGCACCCCCTGGGTCTTAAAGGTGCCGGATTATTGGAAGTTTACTGTAGCAGGAATACTTGCTAGATATGACTTTCACAACTCTCCAATTTGGAATTAAATTAGAGGTGTAGCAGTATTGTACCTCAAAAGGTAAAGAATAGTCTTTTCTAGTACGCCTCCTAGCCCCCCCTTCCGATAGTCCGGCATATCTGATAATCCAGCACCCCCTGGGTCTTAAAGGTGCCGGATTATTGGAAGTTTACTGTAGCAGGAATACTTGCTAGATATGACTTTCACAACTCTCCAATTTGGAATTAAATTAGAGGTGTAGCAGTATTGTACCTCAAAAGGTAAAGAATAGTCTTTTCTAGTCTCAATGTGAAAAGTATTATCAAAAAGGGGAGGGAAAGGAGAAGAAAGGGATAAGTAACATAAAGAACACCAACACATACCTACGTGCCTCCCATTCTCTCCTCTGTCTTCTTTTCATTGTTCTCTCCACAATATCCTGCAGACAGGTTTATGTAACAAAACATAAGATGATTAAAGAAAGAATTTTATAAGATGATCAAAGGAAGAATATTTCAAAAGTGACATTACATTCTAGTCAGTTTAGGCCCTCAACCTAGGCTTAGTTAAAATAAACATTCAGTAAAGTTAGTATGACAAGTAGTGTATTGAAAATATTTCCACAGAAACAAAATTAAAGAAATGGTACCCTTCTATGTTATTTATAATTTTGTAAATCATCAAGGTTTTAAAAGATACCTTGATAATTGGCTGGCATTTGGAATTATATGATGTGGTCCTGCAAGGTGCCAAGTGCCCTCATCTTCTCCCATGGCCTGGCCCTATAAAGGTGCCTTAGTTATATTTTCTGATCAAGAGTCTAAAGATGATGCTAAAGATGATCAAAGACAGAACACCGACTGTACAACCAAGAATTTGAGTTGTTTTGAGTTCACCATAAGAATTTAAAAACAAAAGAACCCTCTCCCACACAAAGGGATGAAGAAGTCTCACCAAGATTCTTTTGTTTATCTGTTGTTTTTTAACTTGGGCATAGTTATACAAGTAAAATTATGAATAAGTTAGCCAATTTATGAATTTCTATATATTTAAATGTTTGAATTCTTGAGAGTTTAACTCTTAAACGGAAAATTATTTTTGTTTAACTGAATTTTCTGCAAAGATTTTTGCCCTTAAATTATTAATGAATAATCTCATCCTAAACTTCACATCGAAGTTTTTTGTGTGGAAATATGCTAAAGTATATGTTCTACTTCATTTTTTAAACTTATGTGCAGGCCTTTTGATCTTATAATACAGCAATGACTTTTGTTTACGCTTTTTATTTGCCTGAAACTCAAATGGTATTCTCATACTTGCTGAATTATAGCAGAATATGCACATGATTTCCCCCTGTTTCACAACAAAGCTGCAAGAAAAACACCTCTTCAAATCGTTTGCGCTTTCCCAAAGGCTCAGATCCATCACTTTCATTCCCAGACTCATCTTCGTCTTCATCTCTGAAGATATCATCATACGCAGGAATTTCAAGGTCATCATCTTGCTTAACTAACAGCTTAATCTAACAAAAAAGTGTATTTTAAATAAAATAACTCATTTTAACAACTGAAATAATTGTTCAACCCACAAATGTACATCACTTGTTTTCTTTTAATTAAACAGATTTAACCAAGTCACTCCTTCTTTGATCTATTCATACGAAAGCATCAAAATGTTACTCTATTACAATTAGGCGATTAATCCATTTGTTCAGACTAGAACAACAGCCTTGTATTCACATGACTTAAGATAAATATATTGACTCTTCTGTGTAGCACTACAAAACAAATTGGAATTATAAATGATAAATACAGTATTGCAGTACAGGTTACACCTCCCTAAACTGGGATTCTCTTATCTGGCAACATCTGTGGTCCAGCAGGACCACGGATATTGTTGAATAAGCCCTGGAGCAGGAGGGCCAAGGGCTGAGAGCCCCATGCACAGTGAAGCTGGTGGTAGCAGGTCAGGGCCTCAGTAGCCTGGTAACCCCGCTGGGGCTGGCCCAGCGGGGCTGTGCTGTGGTAGGCCAAGAGGGGCTGTGTGCCGGTCCAGCAGTGGGGAGAGCTACAGCAGTCCAGTAGAGGAAGTCTATCTGTGGCTATAGCAGTGTAGTCCAGGTTGTGGCAACTCGGCTGCAGCAGATGAACAGCCTGATTGAGGCTGCTTGCAAGCCAGCAGTAGGGCTGCAGCTGCATTCTGCCATGCCAACAGTGGGGCTGGAGCAGAAGCTATTGCAGTGGAGCCATGGCTGGCAGCGGGACCGAAGCAGCTAGCACTGGTGGCAGGGAGCGGCAACAGGCTGAGGGGGCTGGTGGCAGGGAACCTTCCCTAGTCCAGCAAATTCCCTCATCCAGAACTGCTCAAGTCTGAAGGGTGCTGGACCAGTGAGGTCCAACCTATAGAATATAAACAAAACAAATTTTATCTGTTGAAGACCATTCTGAAATAATGTTGGCATTCTTCATTTAAGGTGTTATTACTAACTACTAGGATAATAAATTATATATCCTAGAAGAGGTCAGTAAAATAGTATGTTCTCTTCAAAGGTACAGAACTGACAGTCATCTCTGGGAATCTCAGGTAGAGTCACTACAGGCACCCATGGTATAACTTTTTTACTGAGGGAAAGCTTATTTCCCCCCCTTTTGACCATCTAAACAACTAGTGCAAGTTATTATTCATGTGCTTTCTGTTTGTTATTAGCAGGGCCCCGCTCACTAGCCGCACTGTCCGGCGATCTGCGCACGCTCGAACCCGGCTCTTCTGGGCTGTAATCTACTCGCCACGAGCGAGTAGATTACATAGTTTGTCGAGCCCTGGTTATTAGCATTGTTGAAGTTGGATATGTTGAAAGAAATGGAAGGTGGGTAGGTCAGCTAGCTTGGGACAGGATACTGGGTACTCCTTTCAACAGCTTGATTTACCTGTGTCTCATTGTAAACATTCACTACATTGATGGGCCTATGGGTGTCACAGATAAAGAAAAAGGCCTCTTCCTCAGGCTGCAGGATCTCTAGAAGGTCAATGTTGGCACCACAATTTATAAGAACAAAATATTGGAACTGAAAAAGAAAAACAACGTATTGTACCTAAATTAGCAGATTGTTTTCCATACTAACAAAAAAACCCACCAACAAATAAAGTTCAGTAAAATGTTCTGTCTACAAAGCATTTACCCTTGTACCCATTTACATTAGACTCCTAATCTACCACACCTCTGAGCAAACAGAAACAAGTTTTGCATACAAGGATAACGTGCTGGGTTTTGGGGGTATGGAGACTGCTAAGAGCTAATACTGTAATCTAAACTTTCACAGCTGAAGATGGATTCAAATTTAATGTGTATAGATCAAAAGTTAAGTCAGTTTACTTGTGCTATCTTGGCCCATTTAAAAAACCCACTAAACCATTTGGTGCATTTGGCAGTTCTCTTTAGAAGCGATCCATATAAATAGAAGTATTTGTTAAACCAGCATTATGGCATATTATCAGAAAAAAAGTGGGTATCTGCTGAACATTTATTCCTTTTCCATCTAATTTTATCCAATATTTTTTGGGTAGCCACTGAAAATCCAAAACTTAGCACTGAAGTGGAGGAAAAAGAGTGCTTAAAAATTGCTACTTTATGGTAGGATCATATAGAAAGCTCTCACTATTTTTTTTACCTGATCTTTATGTTCAAGAAATGCAGTTTCAAGTTCTTGCCATCCAGATACGGGAACTAATGTATATTGTACATGATCACATTGAAACAAAGCCTAGAAATAAAGCACAACATTAAGAGATAAGAAAAAACAGCAAGAGAAACTAACTCCAACTCATAGAAGCCCTCCTGTTCCTCTTTAAAGAGACATAAAAGTAACCCAACTATATTTCAATATATTTAGGTATGAATTATAAAGCCTCAGTATCATATTTGCTAATTTTTTTTTAACAACAAGTTAGGAACATAAAAAAATTAAAACATTTACAACTGAATTTTATAAAAATTTCTCTTTCACTTTTCTTTCTACATATTCCTGTATACATCTTTTAACTGTGATTCCCCCCTCCTTTTTTTGTGGTACATAATTAAAATGATCACAAACATACTTGGAGTATTTTACAGGCACATAATGCATCCACATCTGCTGCAACAAAAAGAAGAACACGCTGAAAATAATGGAAAACAATATTAATTAGTGCATATGGCTTGCTACTGTAAAAAAAAAAAAAAAAAAAAGACATATTAGGGTATTTGCACA